TTTTTTTTTAATTATTTTGGCTTTATCATGCAAAAAATACAAGATTTTTTTTCTTTTTGGCTCAACTGACAAAGAAAAATGATGACGATGACGGTGATATAAAGATGAAAGAAAAAAGCAAAAAAAAGCGGTGCTTCCTAATTGCGGTTCTTCTTCCGAGTTGAATCATTTGTCAGAAGGGAAAAACAAAAAACAAAAAAAAAAAAAGAAGCAATCTTAGCTGTTCGAGAAAGAGGACCTAAACTGTAAACTTTGGAATTCTATTTTACCTATTTTCTACATATTTATTTTTGTTGTCTTAGCGGAAATTTTCGTTGAACAAATGGAACAACATTGTTTTGAAGTTAGTTCAGTGTGAAGATGGGGTGCTTTAATGGAGAACAAAGAAGTTCAAACGACTGGTGAAAGTGAAAGGAAAGCAGTTTTGATTAGCAGTTCTTCCAACAAATACTAACTGCTTAGATTTAAGCTGTATCTTAAGTTTAGTTAAGAGCAAAAAAAAAAGTAGTGCATTGTTCTGAAAGCAATTTTTATGTTTTTTTGTTTCTCATTACTACCGTTACTTTGATGATGATTTTTTTTGAGTTGAATAGTTAACAAAAAAACAAAAAATTTGTTGTAAAGATCTACAACTGTTTAGGCTATTTGTTTAATGACCAGTAACAAATTTTATAGTGGAAAACTGGAAAGACTGGACTTGATCAATTCTTTGCTAGCCAACACCGTTCTTTTTTCTTATCATTTCACAGCAGCAATAACAGTATTTTCTCTAAGATTATTCTATTTAAGATGGAATTGCTGTATTTTCATGCCTTTTTTTTTTTTGTTTTTGTTGTTTTATTCGCAAAAAAAAAAAAAAGGAGAGAAAAAATGAAAAACGAAGCTTTCTATGTCTTTTTTGTCTCCTTATAAAATAATTTTTGAAATTTTTTCAAGTGCATACCGCAACATTTTCAACAACATTTTTTCTGTTTCTATCAGAAAACAAGAAAAAGAAAAAAAAAAA